AATGAAACCATAATATTCTCAACATTTGATGGTGTCACAATTCACACCACCAATATTATTATTATTGAGAGTTGCAGCAGACGAGACAGCTGGACTAGTAACACCAACATTACACAAACTATTTGGTGAAGTAATTATACCTCCAGTTGTATTCAGTCCTAATCCCGATATATACGTAGACAACGGAATAGCAGATAACAAATTGGGGAAATATGACGCTGTAGGGATTGTTAATGTGTTGACTCCCCTGCTACCACTATTAACACCAACACTACCACTACTAACACTACAATCACTACTAGTGTGGTTACCATTGTTGTTCACATTACTACCATTAACATTACCATCGATCATACTGCTGTTCACCAGCGGAGTACACATAGATCCAGCTAGCTGACTTATCATGTTCACTGTGGCACAATTCACAAGCACAGCAGCAACAAGTGGATTCAGTGCAGTCCCACTATTCTGTACAATATTACTCGTCAAATCTGTCACATTATTCACATTAGGCATACTCATCATTTCCGTTGAATTCACAACAGGAGAATGAAGCCACAATGTAGGCATTGCATTGGAAACAACATTCGGCATTTGCACACTTCCCGATCCATTCATTTTACCCGACAGTATAGGTTGAAGTGCAACATTTTGTATGGTGGGAGCAACATGTGGTGTACATGTGAGTAAATTGTGAATCATATCATTCAGAGGTAAAATTCCAATAGGTTTAACCGAATCTGTGGTTACGGTCACTGGAGTTGCATTTCCAGTGGCTTCATCCACTTTAATATTCGACACTGGGATGTGAGATTCACCTTTCATATGAGAGTCATCTGAATTCATATCTCCATCATTCCCATTGTAATCTTCCTCCGCATAATCTTCTTGTTCTTTGTTTAATACATCATCAAATGCTGTATCTTCCTGTTTCATACGGTCTTCATCTGGATCTGTAGGTTCTACAATAACTATTTCATCATCATCATCACCACAGTTAAGTAGTTGAATCAATTCTGGACTTTCTATTTTACTTGATTGAGATGAATGTTTTGAATTCGTAGACAAGTTGAATTTTGAGGATGATTTCATTGATGCAGGCATGAGAGTAGGTCGATGAAGCATGATTGTGAATTTGATTTAAAATATCCACAAATATGTTTGTATGTATATTTAATGAGGTTATAAACGGTAAATGTGACAAATTCGATCATTCATCTTTGCCTACTAATTTAAAGTATTAGACTATAGAGTTCAACGGACCAGTTTGGTTTGTACCTCTCAGACCAGTGACCATTCTCTTTGTCCAATTATACAACGACCGAGAGCTTTGAACGAATATCTTAAATCCTATTGGTCTACACAGATCCTTACATCCCAGTTAACCAATTACAAGACGAATTGTCAAAATAAATTTTTCCCTATATTACTCTCATCCTTGCCCAAAATGTTAATAGGATATCTGAATCAAGTCATGACCCGAACCGCGTCAAGAATAAAATAAATCACTGTTTGTAGGATACTGGATGGTATTTAATAAAAAATGCTGAGGAATAAGTGCAGAAATAACACAAGTTAATTTCGTAAAATTGAAATATGTGTCAACAATTAGTGAGTAAAATATAAGTTTACAGTAAGAGCTATATACAGCATGAATCAAGTATTTAATAAACACAGAATTAGTGAACAAGTCCATGATAATAGTTTTCGTATTCTGAGCTTCCTTATTTGTTCGCATTCATCAGACACCTACTTTTTTAAAGTATTTCACTTATATTGGTTATATGGGTTTATTTGATTTGGATTATGTTGTCACGTAACTACAATGTATTCAGCATAAATAATATTGAATGTTATTTACAATGAAGGAATTTAAGCACTTAGAAACTGCACAAAAATCTCCCAAGATTATTTTGTAATGATTTTGTTGTGTCCCGATAAGGATAGTGAGTGGTAATTCTTTGGGATCTATTTATGGACCTATAGTCTGCGTATATTTTTGTCGTATAATAGTTAATTATCTAAACTATTCAAATTCATGTCTCTCTTATCATAAGCTTTATTTTAACCTATGAACTGTTAGCATACGATTTTCCATTCTTGAATTATTCCCTGTTTATTAATCACTACCTCCCACATTCACAGTAACATTTGGCCAAATCTTGTACAAATGTTGTTTCCTATTTTATGGTACGATGTGGTCTATCTGGTTGGTATATAAACTCAGTATGTTTGAAATGAACGATTCATATTGCAGAGGCTGAGATTGGTGTTCTGGACTTAACTGACTGGGCTAGGGCGAAAAGCAGAACTAATCAGGACTCTAGTCTGCTCGTACTTGTTTTACGCGTCCTTGGTTCGATCGAGAATTCATTGCTTCTGATTGGCGGCTTTGGGCTATAACAGATTTAAATTATATTTTGGCAATCACAACGTTCCTTTATTAGACATCAGATTTTTATAAATTATTGGGTTTTCACTGATTGACGAAAGACAGTATGATAATGTATCGTCTGAGGGCCTTTCTAGTATAGTATGAATCCATACTGACATAAAAGTACATAATGTGCGTCACGTCATGATCTGAGTACCGTAGACTCCTTGAAGATCGGAAACTGAGGAAAAACATGTTCAGACTACCTAGTTGGAGACTAGGCGAAATGACTGAAAATCTGTAGTAATTGTTTAAACGCATTCATGTTTTAATTCCCTATTGATTTCATGTTCCAATATTATTAGAATACTGGATAATAACAAGTACCTAATATTATGTATATAGTGTGACAATCCTAACCGATGCACCAAGTTCTACCAGGTTCTATTTTGCTTATAACTGACTTACTGACTGAGACAACATTATTTTGTACATCTAATTCTAAGAATTTATCTCTTCTTCACGAACTATATCTTCTACGTAAGCAGTGGAATCGATGACACGCGTTTAGTCTTATTTCAGACTAATCAGTTGAATGTACTCACCACATCCCAGAGTTCATATTCACTCCGTGACTTTGGATGTACATATGTCAACTATGAATGAATGTAGATCAATAGTTTAGTGAGTTCTTTGGAACACATTCTGAAGACAAACCAGCTATATAGTATTCGATGACTTATATAGTAATCTCAGCTTATGTTGCAGCTAGCATTGTTACATGCATACATGATTCATGTTTGCTTTTGGAAAGACTCAGACAGCAAGTGACTGTCACGTCACTGTTAATTTGTTAAGAACTTTATTTTTTAATACGAAATTGTGACCTACAGAACATATAACATATCTATTTTCATGTAATTCTACGATTATACATGTAAGTTTGTGTCTATCTATACACATATTACTTTATTCAGCACCTGTTTCTTTGTTGTAGTACGTATTACTTTTCTTGAGTTATACTGATGCTTGTAACAAGTAATGATTCTAAGTAGGCTGAGAAGTCTTTATCCATGATGCGTTTCTTACCTTTTCCCTGTGTGGAAAAAATATTTGAAATAAACTCTCTCAATCTAATTTGCAATTTCAATAGTTGACATCATGAGTCAATTGAAGCTAGACCATAATGGAAAACCTGGAAGTACTGAACGATCTTTTCGTCCCATTGTGGGACTCTTCAGAAGTGCGCATCCACTATCCCTCCTCGTGAGATTCGAACCCAGGACCTATCGGTCTCATGCGCGAACGCCTAACCTATAAACCACTGAGCCGGCCAGCATCCAATGGAATCAATGTCTAACTTCAACTAATCCACAAAGTCGAGAAGCACACCCACCAATGTCTTCAGTGAGTTACTATCTCACAACAAATCCAGTTGAACTCCACTGGTCTCTGCTTCTCACTAGAACTCCAGGAAATACCTTTTGAAGTCAGTCACTAGTGAGCGTATTTTGATTAGTATCAGAAGGGGTTTTGTAGATATAGTAATCTAATAGTTGAGATCATGAGCCGTTAATAATAATAATACTAATAATTGAAACTCAGTCAGTCAGTAAGATACAACGTAGGAACAGACATATATATGCATCGGTCCAAGTTACCATACCTCATCAACACAACAAGATGAACACCGGATTCATAGGAATAGTTAGGTCAATGGTGGTAATATATAAAAGAAAGATTGCATATAAGGATATAGTACAAGAAGAAAGAATTAGTATATAGAAAGAAAGATATGAAGTGATTTTAATCTCATATTTTAAGGGAAGACAGAGAGTGTACACACTTACGCCATTGTGATCGATTCTGAGCCATGTCACCAAGAGTCTCCAACCATTGGTTACGATAGTCACGCGGACCCCAACTAAGTAGTCTGCATCTACCAACATGGCTCAGACTAGAAGTTAGTGACTTCAGGCACTGATGCCACGTTTTGGTTTGGCCGCCACTAATTCTCTTCCAACCATCTCTAACACCCGTTAGCATTGCACGACGTGGTAATCGGTGTTCGGGCATACGTAACACGTGGCCCAACCATCTCAGTCGATGAAGATTAACAACCTCATCAACCGATTTACCATCATTCCCTAATACTCTGCGTCTAACCTCAGTATTACTAACCCGGTGATCCCAGAAGATGCGAGCAATATTTCAAATATTAGTAGTTTACGAGTATCTTCTACTCTTAATGGCTATGTTTCGCAACCGTAAATTAAAACAGAACGAACTGTCGAGCAGTATACTCGTCCCTTTATTGATAGACGGATATCTCACCTTCGCCATAGGTGACGTAAGTTGGTGAAAGCCAAACGAACTTTTCGAATCCGTGTTGAGATTTCGTCAGACACCAACCCATCAGGGTTGATCAAACTTTCAATATTGGTGTTGTCGACGCATTCAACTACTTAATTCACTATCCTTAGTTCAGTTGCTGACGCAGGTCAGTATTAAAATAACAACTTGCAATTAGAGGGTGCGAAACGCGTCCCTAACATCCTGTCATTTCTGCTTAGTGCTACCAAAAGATTCTGCATTTTATCAGCGTCTTCACCAAACGAGACTGTCGCCTGCGTATTCTAAGTCGATAAGTGGACCCTCCTGGAAGGAGGTCAATATCCGAGAATTCAGTCGACGAGAGCGTTATTTCCATCAGTACGGCTATGATGAAGTTGAGCAAAAATGGAGATAGTGGACAGTTTTGACGGACACCACTTGAGGTTGTAAAAGCAGATGACAGTTCGCCATAAGCTCTGACTCGATTGGTACTGTTCGAGTAAAGAGCCTTTACAAAGTTTATGTACTTCCGAGGTACGCCTTTCAATGACAGGCACTGCCACAGAATCTTGCGGTCTACGGAGTCAAATGGTGCCTTAAAGTCAAGAAAGACCACCACTGTCGGACTCCGGTAAGTATGTCTATGTTCTAGAACCTGACGAATGGTGAATATGCGGTCGATGCAGCCGCGACCAGGTCTGAAGCCAGCTTGATTCTTTCGTGTTTGCAGTTTGCGAGTCTTAGTTAGGCGTTTGATAATTATCGAGGCTAGTATTTTAGATACTATATTAGTTAAACTAATCCCTCTATGGTTGTTACAGGATGATTTTGACCTCTTCTTATACATTGCAACAATCAGTGATTACGACCAGTTAGATGGGATTACACCCCACTCCCATATTTTAGATAAAATACTAGTCAACCTTATCACTAAAATTGGACCACCATCCTTAACTATAGCCTTTCGAACTTCGGTTAGAGTTGGGGGACATACTCTAATGTTCCATTCACACTGTTTGGGAATTGAGGGTAGTTATAGAGTAGCTGAAGGCCAGCTGAAATGCGCCACCCATTGTTCTAAACGTCTGGACTGGGAGCAGATGAGATTATCGTCTTTTTCCGAAATAATCTCACTTACACTTGAATTATTAGTTCCAGTTTCTTTTATTAGTCTGTAGAGCTGTCTTGTGTTCCCTATAGCCGCTGCCTTTCCATTTCTTTTGCTTTCGTCGCCCACCACTTCTCACGGTCATTCCTCAGACTTTTGCTTAACATAGATCTGACTTGCTTACGCTCTTCATCGTGTTCAGAACCTGATGGGATGAGTTTACGAGAGTCCACCAGTGTAACAGATTTAATAGAAATTCATTGGTTTTTTGTAACGCTATGGTTCAAAACACTAATAGATATCACTGCTGTTTCCACTGCTGCTTGTATATCTTTCCAAACAACATCTGGGTCAGCCTCGTGACGTCCGTTGTTCCTGGAACCTACTTTTGGATTTCTCGTTACTCAATTCAGTTCTAATGGGTCTTGTTAGTGTGACATTTTTGGGTTCAGTGAGGTGCAAACAGATACATGCCCCTATTAGTGCATGGTTGGAGTTCAAGCAGGTACTCCAGAATGAGCGACAATCTTCTGTTAAGCCTCCCTAACAATGACTAATGGCAATATGGTCTATTTGGGTCCATCGTTGGTTTGTTGCAGGGGTCACCATGTTAGACGATGTCTCTCCTCATGCTTAAAATTTGTGCTTGCTAAAAATAAACGATTGTTTGAGCACATTTGCATCAGATGGTCACCGTTATCTGTTCACTGAGCCGGAATACTAGAATACTCATCTAAATGCCTTTCTGTTTGGTTTAAGCTACCTATCTGAGCATTAAAGTCGTCTGCTACGAGTAATATGTCTGAACGATTAGCTTTCTGAAGAAGTTCAGATAACTTTCTGTAAAATTCATATTTCAATTCATCTGAGCTGCAGTCAGTGGGAGCATAGGCAGAAATGAGAAAAATGAAACGACGTGTGTCCCTATCCTTTCGAGTTCTTACGGAGCCGTTTAGCCGAACAGCACACAAACGACTGTTAACGGGGATCCACTCTAACAGTGCTTGTTCCGCCCTCATGCTATCCCTACTCCTGCCAGTCCACGAGAACTGGTCATCGCGTCACCCGATACACGTAGGGTGTATCTCGTCGGCTCTCCGTTTTGCCGAGGTGAGGTCAAGTAAATGACCACACTAGGATCCTGTATGTGTGTTTCGGAGACATAGCGTACATCAATAGTACGAGATTCTGATGTTTTGACAAAGGAGGCCTGCTGACCGATTTGACATAGTGTGCATACTTTGAAGGTTCCAATGTGTAGTTTGGAGTGAGGATTCAGTAGACCTGGGACAGTTTTTTGCGTTCTAGAACCGTTGTTCATGGTGACACTTGAGGAGGAAGTCAAAAGAAGGAGTTTAGAGTTGAAAGTTGGGGTAGGCGGAATAAGAGAAATTGAAAAGGGAGATTGATTGTGAATACAGTTATCTTGAGTGCTGTTAGAGTTATGAGGGCGATTATCACTTCCCAGATGCCCATACCGTGGAAGGGTTCTTCTGGAGGAACCTGAGAAAGAAATTGGACTAGAGGTGGTCTTAGTGACCTAGGAGCGTGACCGCAGTGCTCAAGGCACAACTGCTTGAGGCCTTGTAGGTATCATTACCAAGGTTTGATTTGATAATTTCGAATAAATTGAGCATTGGGCTGATTGTTATAAATAAAAATAATATATTTGTAATATCCCAATGAGTAGAAAATTAGATTTTCTGACGTTTCGTGACTTAGTGTAAGTCACTTCTTCAGAGAATAAATAACCAAATTAAAATTAATCCAAGTTTAAAAAGTACAACGGAACAATGCAAGAATAATATTTCATCAATCAAAAACAGGTCTGCTTGAGGCCTGTCACACATGACCTTTTTATGAGTAGTTTTCGTGTTAGCTTCGTATTTGTTGGGATGTTACAGCCAGAGACGGGAATCTGTGGGATAAGGCGAGGTGTGCATTTTTAGGGTCAACTTTTTCTAACCCCACCGTTCTTTGTGAAAAGGCAGCATCGCCGTTATGCTGGTTGTCTGAAGGAAACATCTTACTGTCGTCACACCTCTGTACAGTTCGCAGTACGACATCGTGATAATAGAAGAACTGATGTACTCTTATCTCAAACGAATAGTATGCTTGAGCTTCAGTATTTTAAAGGGAAAAATAATATATGGATTAATACAATGTACCAGGTGCAACTAGAAAGTGATATAGTGTGTTGCTCCATTTCCATATGAAGTAGATTTTTAAGCCTCATTCTCAACATAATTATCCATAGGAAATCGCCTTTTTCTGTTTTGAACTGTAGGTAACACTACCGTTATAGTGATTACACAATTATTCACGTGCGATGTTGTCCAGCATAACTTTTGAAGGTTGACGAACAGTATATTTCGTTGAGATATAACAACAGAGAGAGAGAGAGAGAGTCAGAGAAAGACTAAGCATAATTGCTATCATTTTCAAGTAATAAATTGTCACTTCACATTAATGTTTTATAAAAACGACGGAAGATTATCATATTTTCAAAAAAAAAAAACGTTTGATGGTAATTAATGCACCAAAGTTAAGGCGATTTACTCAGGCTGTTTAACAAATTAAATCACATTGACCTAACGAATTAATTCAGCATAATTTCAACGATCATAAAGTGAATTAACCATATTAAGGCAAACTTTTTATCTCATTGATTAAGTGAATAAACATAAAACTCTTTATCTTCTGTCTACTCTGTCTTAATTATCAGGGCGGCCTGCTTGAGCATCTGGGCTACCTGTTCCTGCCATCTAGATATTTCAACAAGTTATCTATTGTTGTTTGTTTTAATATATCATTATGTTTATTAATCGCATAACCTATTCTGCTGCGTTTCTGAAAAGTGTACAACCTTTCGTTGTCAAAGTTACAGAAAACTCAATAAGAGACAATATGGTTGCTGGCAATGTACAACGAAAAGAATGTACATTATTCAGTTGTTCATTCACTGAAGTGCTAACATCTAACTGGCGATTCCTCAATATTTATCGCCAGGACCGACCAAGAAGAAAGAAACGGAAACTTGTTGAAATACTTTGCGCTGAGAATTCTATATTGTACCAAAATTATAATATTGAATAAAGCTAATAATAATAATAATAATAATAATCAATTCTTCAATATGGAGGAGTAGTTAATTGAATAAAGAATACGACTTTCAGCCATTAGGACATCCTTCCTAACCCTCTTCGATTCGGGCAATATAATAGTCTTCATATACACAAAATTTGTATCGTAAATCTAAGTACACGAATTTATAATTTATAGTTGAGTTACATTCAATCGAAATCTTAAATAAACCAACTAAATCAACCAATATTACCTGACATATAATAGACATAATATTACTAATTCGGTTCAAGTGACATAATTGATTTTCGCTTAAAATAATATACAACTGAATATCAGAAGGGGTTTTGTGGAGATTTTAGTAATTTTATAGTTGAATTCATGAGAAACCTGGAAGCACTGGATGGCCGTTTCGTCTTGTTGTGGGACTCCTCAGCAGTGTGCACCCAATGAATCCACCTCGCGAGATTCGAACCCAGAACTTATAAGTCCTTATGTTCACAGGTGATCGCTTAACCTCTAGACCATTAAGCCATCCGGCATCCAACGGTGTTAATGTCTAACTTCAACCAATCCACGAAATTGAGCCACCGTTCACCATTGTCTTCAGTGAATTACTATCTCACAACAGACCCGGGTGAACTCCCATACTACGATGAAATGGCTGTCCAATGCTTCCAAGTTTTCCATGTTGGTCTAACTTCAACTGACTCATGAATTCAACTATACAATTGAATATTTAGTGTTCATTCTATACCTGGGACTATGCATGTGAACGTCTTTCAAGTGATGACAGTTTGTTTTACATATTTACATGAACGTCAAACTAACATTAGAATATAAAACAAAAACATCTAATTGTAAAGATAAACAATTAATTATTAAAAAAATTTATTTATTTTGTGCAAATAAGTTAAATTCGGCTGTGGTACTCATCACAAACAGAACCCATTTAATGTACCTTTCAAATATTCAAGTTAGTTGTAGGTGTATAATGTTAAGAAATATAATTTAAGAGTTGAAAGTTATCTGTGATTTTCAATAGAGATACAATTTCATTCGGCTGTAAAATGAAAAACTTCACTAGATTAGAGAACATTTAGTTCAGACACATAACACGAATAAGAAAACTGATCATTCAAACATTATATTATACCATATTTCTTTTTACTTCAAATTGTTTAATGTACATGATCTATTTCATAATTAATTACACTGGATCAACCATCATACATTTCAGTGGAACTTCGAAAGAACTCTCACGAAATCCATCAGATGTTGATGATTATTTAGGAAGATTGTAACTTCTCATGTTTAGACTGAAGGAGTGTGTAGAGTAACGTGTGGGTGGAACTCTGGAAGAGAAAAGAATGAGAGAAGAAATGTGAGTCGACGGTTCAGAAGACACAAAAAAATTTCAGTGAACAATGGAAAACTTTTCAGTGAGGAGTCAGAAAACTACAAGTATGATTGATAAAACATCAGGACAACCATAGACATCAGCTATTGATGAAAACACTGAACGTGTACGGTCGTCTGTGTTCTCCGATTGTCGATTCGCCATTCACGTGATCGCTCATGAACTGAGTTTGGGGAATCGTTTGCGCACACGATTCGTGCAAAACATCAAGGAATACGAAAGCACATGAAACAATTATACAGTTGGAGAGTCTGATTTCTGACGATTTCCAGTGGTGTTGAGAATAATGGAAACTGAGGTGGGACAAATGTCTTATCACAGATCAACAGTATCTTGAAGGAGATAAGAGTGAGGCACATGGGGTTCTGGATGGCCAATTATCGATGACTTGGTCCCACAATTTCATTATACAATCTGAGTGACTTTCATCAAACAAGCCACACTACTTACACGTTATTTGCTGCACAATACATTTTCATTCAATTCATTCGATGCGAACAGTTTACGTTCTGTCGTTATGACAACACACTCACACCACTCATACAACATCAACATTCGTCAGATAATATGGCATATACAAGTGTAAATTGCATGAGATAGACAGATACCTTCAATACTTTATTCCATTTTGGAGGCAGGTTTCGTGTTGAACAGATGATGAATGTGGAAACCTCATTCATTTCTTCAGAAAAATCTAACATTGGTTTTTAGCACATGTAGTCACTGTTTAAAACCTTCCAATCACCTAAACACATCAGTATGATGTATTTTTCCTGTCTATCGTCTTTATGTTTCGCACTAAATTTGTCTTTCTCTTTCCTCTAAACGAACCTGTTGGGTCTTTGATTACCACAGCTAGACAAAATGGATTTTTCATTCTATCGTGTTTGTGCGTTATTATTAGCTGCTTCTCTCACTCACACACACACATACACATATTTTCCAATAGAAAACGAGAGATGGGGGAGAATGATGATAGAGGGACAGGACAGTAAACTATCACATAATCTACGGTTACCCTCAAGCTATGAATGAAAGAATGCACAATGATTTACTCGTTATTCCTCTGGACTTCGGTAGAATTTCCTAGCTCAATTTGTTATGAATAAAATTTGATATGTAACTCACAAACCGACTAGTGTGATTTACACAGAAGGATGTAACAATAGAGAAACTTACTTTTTGTAATCAATGATGGATAGTGGCTAGCAGTGGAATCTAGGACGCGCGTTTCGTCATATTTGAGACTCGTCAGCTGGATGTGCCTGCATTTCAGAGTTGATGTTCACTCTGGGACTCGAACCCAGTACCATTCGCTTCAAACGCCATCGCGTTATCCACTCAGCTACTGGGTTGTGATAGCCAGTTGCTTGTGCAATGGGGTGAATTTACATTCACTTGGTATTGTTTACTTGAATCTTCCCATTGATATTTAGGACTGTAATTGATTAGTCTAACTGACGAGTCCCAAATAAGACAAAACGAGCTTCTTGGATTCCATTATTAGCCACTATCCATCTTTGCTTATAAATTGAGGCAGTACGCATAGTATGCACATATGCCAATAACAGACTGATCAATTGCACTCTTAAACCCCAATGGGAAGATACAAGTCAAACAATACCGAGTGAAGAGAAACTTACTGTTTGACTAGATGATGTCTGATTACCTCACTTGTCTATACGTAAAACTATGTGTTGTTAATTTGCGTATGATAAAATCTATTGAAATTTCTTAGTTCATATTCTACTACAGTTTGCATTCGACGTGTCATTCAGTTTACAGGCATTCCATGAACGATAATTTGTAATTTCGAACATTTGATGCATGACCAATGATATTGAAAGGTGATTGGCTAATGAATATATATATACATATACAGACGGCTTACTGCTTCATTCATGAACTCTATATTATTGATTCTTACTCTGTACTCTGTGTTCGATGGTTAGCATTTATGTTGAGCAAGCCAACAATTGACTTGCAATCTGGTATAACATGTTCGCCATTCTAATGAATGGTGTATTGATCGCGTATCCACTCTTCTAATCGTGTTATCTCGTGTCTAGGTTCTATTGTTGTATTATATCTCAACAAACAGTATAATCATTTATTTCGGTGCTATATTATATTTAGAATGTGAATCAAATTATTATGACGAACAAAATCTACAAATTAAATCAAACAATACAAACCCACTATAAGTAAGCCTCACATATTGTTTGAAATGATCAAGTCGAACCATGACATTGATGCTTATAAATGATGATACTAATTATTGGTGAACATACAAATAGATGGTTGGTTAATGAATGAATGGAATTTGTAAGAAAAAGCACTACAAATTAATGAATCAACTACAATCATTATTACTGCATCGTCAGCGACAACTAATAGTGGATAATTTTCTGTACAAAAATGTTATCGATCATTCCGTTTATATTAAATAATCGTCAAAATCAAATGATCCAAGGTGAGTGACACTATTTATCAATACAATCTGTTACCTGATCATCAGTATCACATGGTTGTAGACTTGTTGATTGTTGAATAATTTCTTCCATTTTGATTAGTTCTGACTCTTCTTCAACTTTAAGAGTACTGATCGAAACAGGAACAGTAGAGATGGTGGAGTTTGTAGTATCTGAAATAAGACTGGTTGCAGAAACTGTCGTAGTAACAATGGGAATAGTATTAGTAGTATTAGTAGTAGAATAAGTGGTGTGATTAGTAGTAATAGTAGCAGTATTGGGAGCAGTACTGACAGAAATTTGACTGTTTGTGACAATAGATTCAAGTGTTTCATTTGTTTGTTGTGGAGTTGTGAGAAAACGTGACAAACTTCTTGGTTGTGCACCACGTAGGTGGATAATACTGTGACGACGTAATTCATACCTTTGAACGAATGATGCATTACATTGATCACACACAAATGGTCGTACACCTGTATGTCGACACACATGCTCGTGCAGTTTATTTCGTTTCAGGAATGCTTTACCACATTCTTTAAATGGACAAACATGAGGTAAGTTCATTCCGGAATCCCAACTTACTGTGGGAATAGACGGTTTAAGAACAGGGGCATTTGATTTCGGAGCAACGAGTGGGAGAGTACGATTTTTATGAATACTCGGTGCTATCGATATTTCACTTGTAATTTCAATTGACTCTGTTGATTTAGGTAACAAATGTGGTGAAATAGTAGTTATTTCAGAGCTACCCTGATTATTCAATATTGGTTCAGAAGTATTAAGACTTGTTCGGAATGTATTACTAACCATAGTGATAGGATATTTATCCAGTCGTCCGGTACTTTTATGGACGAATATGTGTGACAGTTCGTGAGATCGGATTCCAGACAATTCAGTAAATGTAGCACCACAACCAGGTTTTCTACAAACGTATTGTCTTTCACACTTATGTGATCTTAAATGTAACTTGAGTTTGTTGAATGATGAATAAGATTTACCACATCCAGGATATGTACAAACATTTAGAAAAACCAAATTTTTGGGGAGAGATATGGTTGATTTTGGTGCAATGGGTGGGAGAATTTTCTGAATATTCGGTGCTATCGATTTTGCATTCCTCGTTTCCACTGGTTCTGTTGATTTGGGTTGCACATTTGGTGAAATAGTAGTTATTTCGGGATGTTTCGTGATTTTATTCAACTCGGAATACGATTTACTGCATCCAGGAGTTGTACAAGCATATTGACGACTCGAATCCTGATCGGCTGATGAATGTTGAGATAATTTATGTCTTTTTAAATCCTCCTCTGAAAAGTATTTCACATTGCAATTCGGTGCATCACATGATATCGGATCAGTAATCATATGCGTTGATATATGTTGATTCAACTGACATCGTCTAGCATACGATTTGTCACATCCTGGATATGTACAATGATACTTTCTCAATTCTCTTGTAGGCTTAGTGCTAAACATTGTTCTGGAATCAGGAATTATCATATATGACTGAAATGATTCGGATTTTACAGTTGTTGCATTATTATCATCATTATTGTTCTCAATATTTTTAATAATTTCATTAGATGAATTATTTACAACGGATCTTTCAGTATTATACATCACATCACACTGTTCAGCTTGACTTCTACCAGATGACAGTGAAACCATAATATTCTCAACATTCGATGGTGTCACAATCATACCACCAATATTATTATTAAGAGTTGCTGCAGACGAGACAGCTGGACTAGTAACACCAACATTACACAAACTATTTGGTGAAGTAATTATACCTCCAGTTGTATTCAGTCCTAATCCCGATATATACGTAGACAAAGGAATGGCAGATAACAAATTGGGAAGTAATGACGCTGTAGGGATTGTTACTGTGTTGACTCCACTGCTACCACTACTAACACCAACACTACCACTACTAACACTACAAGCACTACTAGTGTGGTTACCATTGTTGTTCACATTACTACCATTAACATTACCATCGATCATACTGCTGTTCACCAGCGGAGTACACATAGATCCAGCTAGCTGACTTATCATGTTCACTGTGGCACAATTCACAAGCACAGCAGCAACAAGTGGATTCAGTGCAGTCCCACTATTCTGTACAATATTACTCGTCAAATCTGTCACATTATTCACATTAGGCATACTCATCATTTCCGTTGAATTCACAACAGGAGAATGAAGCCACAATGTAGGCAATGCATTGGAAACAACATTCGGCATTTGCACACTTCCCGATGCATTCATTTTACCCGACAGTATAGGTTGAAGTGCAACATTTTGTATGGTGGGAGCAACATGTGGTGTACATGTGAGTAAATTGTGAACCATATCATTCAGAGGTAAAATTCCAATAGGTTTAACCGAATCTGTGGTTACGGTCACTGGAGTTCCATTTCCAGTGGCTTCATCCACTTTAATATTCGACACTGGGATGTGAGATTCACCTTTCATATAAAAGTCATCCGAATTCATATCTCCATCATTCCCATTGTAATCTTCCTCCGCATAATCTTCTTGTTCTTTGTTTAATACATCATCAAATGCTGTATCTTCCTGTTTCATACGATCTTCATCTGGATTTGTACGTCGTACAAGAACTGTCTCACCACCGTTATAATCATGACGACTTTCTATTTTAATTGATTGAGATGAATGTTTTGAATTCGTAGATAAGTTGAATTTTGAGGATGATTTCATTGATGCAGGCATAAGAGTAGGTCGATGAAGCATGATTGTGATTTTGATTTAAAATATCCACAAATATGTTTGTATGTATATTTAATGAAATATAAACAGTTGATGTTATAAATAGTTTACTTTGTTAATTGTCTACAGTTTTGACGCACTAAATTTTCTAGTCGATTTGACTTTTTTGGTTTCTCTTGATCAGACCGATGACTATCCCTTTAACCAATCGCCTTTTTGACCGTTATTAACGACCTGAAATGTTAAATCTCATTGGTCCACTTATTCCTTCTGACCCCATTGACCAATCATAATGTCAATAAGGGAATTAGATCGACCTTCTATTACTGTACCGTAATCTTCACTCTATAGCTCTGTGTTATCCAGATGGATTTGTGACTACAATGCACCAATGACAATATATCTCTTTCTTTACATATCATTTAGGTTTACGTGTTATAAAAGTGGGGAATGTTTGTAGAATGAATTCATTTTAATTTATTTAATGTAAAATATTTGGCAAAAGTTAACTTATTATGGGACTTTTCAGTAGTATGCTTCTATGCCCCCGGAATCGAACCCAGGACCGTGGGTTTCGCTCTCGAATCCCCGACCTTTAGACCACTCAGCCATGATCCAGCGTTACACAGGTCTAACTTCGATCATTCCATGATATTATTCAACTATCGGTTCGTAGTTTCAATAAAAGTCAATAATCTCCACAAGTATTGATGAAATTTAAACAAAAATACAAATCGAATGCATTATCAAACAAGCATCCAATATAATCGCAGTTTCTGAAAAGAATTTAGAACAAGTCAAGTTGGACGTTGTTAATTGTTGCCACTAATACATTGGTGCAAAATGTGCTGCGAGACAACTCCTGTCAAAAGAAGATAAATCACAAATAAATAATCTTTTAAGAAGTAAGCATTTAGTAACGCTTCATCAAGTTAAATGTGCCGGAAAGAAATTATATCAATAAATTATCCTAATTAATAATAGATGTAAACAAATCCTCTAAAGAAATTGCTAATAATGATACGACTGATCAAGTCGAACAGAAGTCAACAAAAGTCTTGAGAACGATGAATCAATCATCAATAATGATTTATATGAACACTTAGTGACGTTATACTCTACTGGCTCCCGAAAATAAGGAATAAATATGATTTTCCGCTCTATAATAGGTATGAACAACTTATTATACTATCCAATTGCCAAATGGTTGATGAATATTCTCAAACCAGTCAGAAATACGATCAGTAAAAATAACTTCATTGACTCTCTTGCAATTATTGATCCCGTAATCGACACTAGTGTTTCTAAGAAGGGAATGATTTCTTCAAATGTCTGTTCTCTTTTCACAAATGTACCTGTCGTAGAGACAGTTTATTTTATTTATGATTATGTTGAAAATAACAACATCGATACTGATATTTCAATACATTATCTCAAAGAATTACTTCCACACTACATCTTCAATATTCAGTTCATTTTCAGCGATGATTTCCATAAATAAGCTGAAATTTTTACTAATGTGGTTCCTACTAGGTCTCATGGCTAATCTATAGAACATTATTTTTCTATTAACAGCTAACAGTTCTCATTTCTACAAGTGGTTTCAGAATAATACTTCCGTTATCTGTAATGAAACTAATGATCTGAATAAAACAATATACGACTTCAATATGACTTATTGTTTTATTTTATTTGAACACATAAATATTGGCACAAGAGGGCACCAAATATATATGCGCCACACAAAACAATGAGAATTCGAAGAGAAAAAGAAACAATAACGAACAGATTAGTGTAAGGTAGTGTAATAATAATAATAATAATAATAATAATAATAATAATAATAATAATAATAGGGGAAACGGAAAGCTACAATCAGAAGAAATCTTTCAGTTAAGAAAGATACAACCACTTTTTATGAAGAAAGTAAAGGAAGGTTACAGCAGGATCGCCACTGGCTTTTATTCTGAGCCATATTTGATAACGTCTCTAGCCACTGTGTATCATCATCTCTCAGACCCCAACCAGGGGGTCGTGAAGGACCAACACAAGCCAGCCCTTTACAACTTTCTTTCATACCACGACACCGCGTCATACACTGACTAACTCTCCACTTTTTCCAACCAGTCCCAGAGTTGGCAAATAATGCACGACCTGGAATCCTCTGGGACGACATTCGTAGAACATGTCCAAGCCACCAAAGTCGGTGTTTCAAGATGGTGACACCGATTGCATTATCATCTCTGTGCCCGAACACATGATGCCGAACCTTTGCATTACTAACATAGTGTTGCCACTGAATGTCAGCAATCCTTCGGAGACAGCGATGATCGAACACAGAGAGTCGTCTAACGTCCTCAACTCGGATAGGCCAGGTTTCACAAGCATAGAGCAAAACTGCTCTCACCGACGCGTTGTAGATTCGGCCTTTTTACAGCCAGACTAACATCACGAAGGCGCCAAAGGTGGCCCAGATTGGCATAAGCCGCTCTGGCTTTCACTATACGTGCATTGATCTCATCACTCACACCCCCACCAGCACTTATGCAGCTACCCAGATACACGAACTTCTCGACTACATCTATCTGCTCACCATCCAGGGTGAGTACAGGATTAGAATCCTGCCAGTCTTGTAGAAGTACTTTGCACTTCGAAGGTGCAAAGCACATACCATACCTACGGACACTGATTGCCAACTGATTAAGTGCGCATTGCATGCCTTGGGCATTATCGCACAGTAAGACAATATCGTCCGCATACTCAAGGTCGATAGGTCTTTCTCCAGGCAACAGATCCACACCACCCTTACTTACATTCATCAGAGCTGTTTCCAGAATGTCATCGATGGCAAAGTTGAAGAGGAATGGTGAGATTGGGCAACCCTGCCTAACCCCACTGCTCTAATGGAACAATGGAGAGAGGTGGTTGTATGCCCTCACTCTGCCTGAGGTGTTTTTATACAGGGCTTTTAGGATGTTAATAAACTTCTCAGGCACACCCTTCTTCAACAGACAATCCCAGAGAACAGTCCTGTCCAACGAATCGAAGGCAGCCCTGATGTCAAGAAACACTACGATTGTTGGCCTTTGATAAGTATGGCGGTGTTCTAACATTTGGCGGAGGGTGAAGATATGATCAATACATCCTCGACCAGAACGAAACCCAGCCTGCTCCTCGCGATTCAATCTTTCTCGGGTTTTGAACAACCTAAGAAGTATGACGGAAGCCAATAGCTTGGACGCAATCGGAAGTAGACTTATCCCCCGATAGTTGTTACAGGAACGACGTGAACCCTTTTTAAAGATAGGGACAACTATCGACTCATTCCATGACGTTGGTACACTCTCTAGTTCCCAAACCTTTGTAAACAACGTCGTCAATTCCTTAGTCAGAAAGTCACCACCATCTTTAAAAAGAGCCGGAGGTAAGTCATCTGGGCCAGGTGATTTGTAACGCTTCAAGAGTTCGAGTTCCTTGCGGACTTCCGCCTCATTTGGTGGATCAGTCGTCACCGGCCATGTAGGGCAGGACAGTCTGACCGATGTTGCCGGAGCAGCAGGCCAGTTGAACTGCCCTTCGAAAAATTCTGCCCATCGTCCAAGACGTCGGTGGATGTTAGTGATTGGCATCCCATCATCCTCGCAGATTGTTTCGCTCACACCAGACTTCTTGCTGGAATAATAATGACAATAATAGTAATAATAATAGTATTAATAATGACAATAATTGTAATGATAATAATCTGAATCAATTGATTGTTTTTCGAGGCGAGAAAAGTAATTTCCATAGACATAAAGAGTTCATCATTTGTGTGTGGGCTGTGATACTGCCCGGGTGCCCAAACCGAAGCAGATGGTTATCTTAGGGGGCCACACCCCGAGCCTTTGACCTAAAGGTCTAACCCACAAGGCATTGGAGCATCGTAAGGAGATGCAATCCCATGGTAGCCGGTGACCAACGATTGGTTCATACACCATTTGTTCCCTCAGGATACTGGAGCCCATGTGCACCATTGGTTTGGGTTCCGGTTAAAGCGCCAGATATTCGCTTTTCGTCCTCTCATTTTCCTAAACAACACCCCCGTTACGAGAAGGCAATGAGTAGGACTTCCCTGGCAGAGGCTGTATACGCATGGGCGTGAGAGAGCATTTCGAGAAGGGGCGGGCCCACCTCACTATCGTCCATACCAGGGCATTCGGGGGCTCAGTGAGACTTATCAGTTGATTACATCCAAAGTGGACTCAGAGACAAATGGAATATTTAACTTTTTCAATGTTTTACTCAGAGGAAGATGAAACGACTTTTTATAAAGATCGATTGATAGAAAGCCAACATGGAATGGGGAATATACGAACTTTCAAAGTCGAGTTCCACTGACTAGAAAGAGAAATCTGATGCATTCTCTGTATTCGAGAGTTAGAAGAATATATCCAGAAGACACAGTTGATGTAGAATTAGACATTATCTGACAATACTTATGAAAAGTAGATTCCCTTACATTTTTATTGACAGAAGTCTGAAGATAAAGTGCTCGACTGAAAGAAGCCCTACCGTACCGAAGAAAATTTTGTTCATAAACATTGAGTTCAAGGGAGATATAGACTGAAAGAACTTACGAAACCAATTGGCCAAGTCTTTAAAGAAGAACTTTTATTCACCCGACCTCAATCGTTAATAATCTAGTCAATTCTGGCTATCTATCTTCATCAGAATTTTCATTCAAAATTATTCACAAAGTCAAATGAACTGGTTCGAAGAAAATCGGATAGGAAGCTTGTGAGTAATACTGTCTTTGTAGATCCATTAATTTAAGCCTAGTCTTTGTGTTCAGAAAAGGTACATCCAAATTCCTAGTATAACATTCCCCTAACAGTCCTTTATATTTCGTTAGTTGTTTTTTGACATATTTATTTTTGCTTCTTCATCTCCCTTTTTCTTTAAGTGGATAAATATTTTTCCCATCTCTGTTCTATATCTTATTCTGACGCATATTCGCTCAACTTTTTTTATCTTTCTTATAATTG